CTGGAGCTCAGAGCCTGAGACTCCCTCCCGATTGAAAACGACAACCGCGCCCTCAGCCGCCAGCCCGCTCCGCACTCACCTCCGCACCTTAGTATTTCACCTCTGCACTGCGCCTCCTCTGATTCTCAGTATGCTTTTCTCTTTCCTTCTAGTTGTAGAATTTCCACTCAGCCAGCCTTCCTGTGGTTCTGGATGATGTCCGTTCCGTCTTTTAGTTGTATTTTTGAAGTGGTTGTTCGAGGCAACAAACTCCGGTGTTTACCTATGCCGCCATCTTGGGTGTCTCTTGTTCCAAGCTTCTATGTCTCTGGATCTATTTTGTTTATCAGTTTATTTTGTTCATTACATTCCACATATGAGTGAGATCATGTGACACTTGTCTTTCTCTGACTGGCTTATTTCGCTTAGCAAAATACTCTCCAGCAGGTCCCTCCATGCTGTCTCAAAGGGTAAGAGATCCTTTTTTTTTTTTTTACTGCTGCATAGTATTCCATGGTGTAAATGTACCATAGCTTTTTCTATCTATTCATCTACTGATGGGCACTTGGGCTGTTTTACTCTTTAAAAATGGAAGCCGCTTTTTGTTCACTGCCCTGAATACTTGGCCCTTTCCCTTCATGGAAAGTAAAATGAACTTCCTCTCTGCATCTCTTCTTTTAGTTGTGAATTCTTTCACAGCCTGTAGCACTGGCCAAACCCCAACACTTAAAACTGTATTTTTCAAAGATACTAAATAAATATTTGAATGGTTGAATGAATACTGATAAAGGTATTTTGTCTTATCTCTGGAACTTTCCCCCCAAATTTGGGGACTAACATAATTTATACAAGCTTATAGTTGCATCGCACTAGATATGCATTATCTCTCTTAATTCTTATTACTGTAGTAAGCAGAACAGGAAGTATTCTTATTTTAAACAGGTTGAAACTAGGTTTAATGGACATTTGAGACTTGATGAGATGAACTGATGACTGAGAAAAAAAAAAGTAGAATGGAATAAGCATTGCCAAGAGAGTCACTTAATACAGTCAGGAGGCTATTAAGGAAGTGGGGTATGTGCCCTTGCACATCTTGTGCTTCAGTTCTCAGAGCTGCTATTAACTTGATAACCCTGTTGCCAAACTCAGCTCAAGGCTGAGCCATAAACATCCTGGAACAACTGCTGTGTGGACACATGTGGACTTTACCTTCTCCTTGTACTTTTTCTTTTCCAACCCCCTCCGTTTGCATGTTGGAACTAACCAATCCGTTAACCTAGCTAGCAATCCTTCATTTGCCTGAAAGAATTACATTGTGTGGTTTTTGTCTTTCTAAATCCTGCCTTTCTTTGTTCTCAGAATGCCATTTGGGTTGCTATCTGGAAGTGTCTCCCTGATGGCAATCCTTTTGCTCAAGTAAATGTTTTGTGTTTTTTTCTTCATTGCAGCCTGAACTTTTTCTTGGTTGGCAATTACAATTAGAATGTAAGTCTTTTGACATCGAATCCAGTGAGTTTTGCCTTATTTATACTTCTCATTGAAGAAAAGGCTGTATCTGTTAGTACTTGTTGGGGTCCAACCCCAACAGGTCCAGGGGTCCCCAAAGGTGTGGATGGAGTCGGCGAAGAAGGAATGACACGGAGACAGCCTTCAGTTGATCAGCAGCCTAGTCAGGATCTCCAGCCAAGTTCTGGT